GAGCCCGGGCGGAGCGCAGGAGCGGGCGCAGCGAAGGACGCGCGAGGGGCGCCGGCCGGACGCCAAGGCTGCTCGCCCGCCATTTGCATCTGCTTCGCGCTCGCCTTAATTAAAAGACAAAGGCATTCATAAAATTAACGAGAACAATGCCGAAATATAATAAAATATTGTTATTATACCTTTCTGAATAGAATTATTATGATTACCAGGAAGTAATAACAAAAATAAAATGATAACAATGATGGTTATAATGATGATAATAGCAATAACATATATAATAGCAACAATAATGATAATAATAATATATATAATTATTGTTATCATTACTATTAGCATTATCAGTGATATCATTATCATTAGCCTTGTCAATATGTTGCTTTATCTAAATTTCCTATTACTACCTTTACAATAATAATAACAATATTCATGAGCAATATTGCTATTGTTATTGTTATCATCATTATTATTATTATTATCATTATTATTATTATCATTAATATTATTATTATTATTATTATTATTTTCATAATAATAGTAATAACAACAACAATAATAATTATCATTATCATAATACTAATAAAACAATAATAATAACGATAATATCAATCATTATCACAATTATCGTTAATATCATAACCAATAACAACAAATAATAATAATATGAAACGTTAGTAGGAGTAACAATAATAATAATAGTAATAGTAATTATCATTACTATTACTATTACAACAATAACACTACAAAATCAATAGCAATGGTAAAAACAATTGAAATAATAATAACAACAATAATAATAATCATACTAACGTAATAACAATATTAGCTATAATAGTAATAATAACAATAATAGCAATACAAATACAAACAATAACAAAGAATTAAATACTAACTAAATTAGACAAACAGAGAATACCCAAACAATCAAATAATTAACAAACATCAGATCAGCAACAATAATCATAAATCTAAATCAATGATAATTCTGATCATCCTTTATCATCATCATCTCCATTTATCATTATCTTCGTTATCTTCTTCAATTGCCTTGCGCTCCGCCGATACAAACGCAGTAGGCCTATCTCATCTCAAGAAGAGAGTCGAGCGAGAATTAACGAAAAGTGGTCGTGTTCAAAGCCAAAGTGTTTTATTCATGCGCACATACACATTCATTATAGCAACAGGGACAACGAAGGGAAGGGCAAGAAAACACACGAATATGCCGAAAGCCTTTTCGCTATTGCTTCGCCAGGGTATACACTACAAGAAGTACATAGAGGAGTATATATACAAATACTGTTGTGTATGCCCTGACGAAGCAATAGCGAAAAGGCCTTCGGCATATTCGTGTGTTTTCTTGCCCTTCCCTTCGTTGTTCCTGTTGCTATAATGAATGTGTATGTGCGCATGAATAAAACACTATGGCTTTGAACACCACTTTTCGTTAATTCTCGCTCGACTCTCTTCTTGAGATGAGATAAATCTACTGCGTTTGTATCGACGGAGAGCAACCAAATCAAAAGCGGCGAACAACCTGGAATATTCTCAGACCGCCCGTACTTCATGGCGCGGGAAGGACTGGCATCTCTGCAGCAACGCGGGTTCGAAGCGCTGGCGGGTCGAGGCGGTCGGGGTTCGAAGCGCTGGCGGGTCGAGGCGGTCGGGGTTCGAAGCGCTGGCTCGGGAAGGAAGCGGAGGCGACTCTCGTCCAGCGTTTCCCAACTGGGGTTCTTGGAGAGCTTGCCAGGGGTCAGAAGGGCGATTTAGTTCATGGGCCGAAGGAAGGCACTGAAGGTTGACCGATTCACGTGAAACCAAGTGACGCCCAACGAATGCAAGCGCGGATTTCAGCAGAACAGCGTGTAAATATAGTCTCTCCTTCATCTACGTTTCACATCATCATCAACTGCTACCCATCACAGGTAAGTTGCATCGAAGAGAAAAGCAAGTTATTTTCAAAAATTGTCAATAACCTTGTGGAAAAAACGTCATTTATGTGTTTAAAATAAATGTAACAAATATAACAACAGTAAGGTACCTTGCGATATCCTGAGTGTTGCAGTTTCCATGATATGGTAACAGAAAAAAAGCCGAGGACACGCGTACGGCAGCCGTAACCGATTTCCCGCTATTGGGCGTACGGCTGACAAATGCGTATAAAAGTTATTTCCGGGTAATAAGTACAAACCTAACCTAGCCTAGCCTAACTTATCCTAACCTAACCCAATTGAAAGTGGCAATACCTCCTCGTTTGTTTCACCACGCATGCTCAGGACACTAATCGGGGGCTTTTCTGCAGTGCCAATAGAGTAGAAAGAGAGGGGGGGTGCTAGGAGGGGGAGGGGCTGTATATGTAACACATTCAAAGTCCCTCTCTATCTCGGCTGGACTCTGAAATGCCCTTCAGAGCGGTAACCGTTTCATGTGCATAATAACATGGCTATAAACTTCTCGTAGACGTAGTTAACCTCAGCCCCGCCTGCATGATGTCCGTAAATCATTTCCACATCAGACTCGACAGAATCATTCGGTGGGACAGAACGCCTTCTCCGACTCGTGCCAGGGCCCCGTCGACGACTGCCACAGAAAAGGACGAAACGGGAAAGCCACAGAAAATCGATGGGAAGTGAAGGCATTGTGAAGTATTCACTGCGTTGTTCACTGCAGTGTCCACCGCACTTGGCTTTCACTTTGGAGGGCTCTGCAGACGCCGCGGTCTCGTTGGACGCCTCGGAATAGCGTCGGAGGCGCTGGCGGAGGCGCGTCTTCGTGCGCGAGCCTCCTCGGCCGCGTGAACGTGCACGACCGAAGCGACTTGCTTTCGATCGGGAAAATGTCTAAATAGTTGCAACTTCACATAGCCATATGGTACAAGGTGAACTTTGCCTATAATGCATAGAACAACAGAGAATATGAGACCATGGCATTTCCTTCGCTGGTTGATAATAAGGACGCGGTGCCGCACACCACGCACATCATTTGGTATAAATTAACGAAACGATGGTACAAAGATCGGGAAAATCTAGTGACACTCATGAGAGGAAAAAAAATGAACTTACTGATACATTAAATTGTCGCGCAGCAATGAATAACGCCGTTCATGGTCTGATGGAAATTATAAAGTGTTGCGACAAATGCCTTGTTATGAGTTCCACTTGTGTGGGATCCTGGGGCGGAGGTTCCTGGGGCGGGGCCGTCGGGTTGGGAAGACGCTGGGTTACACGGCCAAGTTTGTGGTTCCCAGGAGCCCCCCAGGGTTGTTGGCAAAGAGCAATAGTTCTCTTCGTAAAACAATGACTATGTTAATAATTTGCAATGAAAAACGTTACTCGCATTTTGTACTGAATGTAAAAATATATATCGGAACTGGTATGATTTTTATCACATTACAAAAATACGGTCACGTGTGCCCTTTCACTGTTATGAGCACAAGAACAGCCCTGCTTCCCTGTGCACAGAATCAGTACGTTATTCGCCCTCCGGCCACGTCATCAAGAGGCCTCCCGTAACTTTTGCCAGGCGACATCCAGCGATCCTCAGTCTATTTGCACTTGCTAATATCCCGTTTTAATAACTGAATCCGAATCTGCAGAAATTAACATTTACGTTAGTATTATGCCAGCCAACACCGCCATGCCCACCGCGGCGGGAATACCAAGAGTAAGCAAGAATAATTAATCTTGGCAAATATAAAACATATCCTTTATCACAGCATTTGATACTTAACTCGTGTTCACAAGTTGCTCAATGTGTACAAGAGCAAGTCTTTGTGTCGACAGCATACATCTCTGCATATCTTGCAACAATTCACAGGATATTCATATTGATGCAAGTTCGCGCAATGTCATTAATTCGGTAAGCACTGGTCGTGGTAAGTGGCTCGCCCGCTGGGAAATGCACTTTGCGCTCGCAAGCCGTGCAACATTTATTTCAACATCAAGCAAAATAGTCCAAGATTAATTTCAAATGTAGGAAATAATCCGATAGAACGTTAACTATATGCTTAAAGCTTCGTTTTTTTTTTTTTTTTCTCCACTAACCATGTGATTTGGAGTGCACTTTTATCATCGGGATTTCAACACATTTCAGACAGGATAGCACAGCAGTCAGTCCGCGTCCTGGTGTGGAAAAGCTGTTGACTTTCGCCATTTTCCTGAACCTCGAGCAGAGAGCCAGAACGGATAGGGGGGGGGGGGTCGTAGCAGCAAGGGGCACCGGAGACGTGCAGAGGCGCATGAAACGGAGGAAGGAGCTGGGCGAAGCGGTGGGGAAGGAATCAAATAAGACTAAGGAAGCTGAGAAGCTAGTGAAGCAGAGAGGACTGAGGCGAATGAAGTGGAGGTAAAGGAATAATGTAAAGTTGAAGAAGCGCAGGAGGCGAAGGCTAGTGAAGCGGAGGAAGCTAGACGAAGTGAAGCAGAGACGAAGGGCGGCCGCGACAAGGAAGGCCAAACAATCTCCAGGTCTTGTAAATCGATATTCGGCAGGTAGGTTGCCAGCGCCGATGCCCCGAGCAAGTGGCACGATTAGCGGCGAGGGGGGGGGGGGGGTGAGGCGCATCCACTGTGCCCATCGGAGAGCGAGTGACACTGGACACCGTCGCAGGGAAGTGGCGTGGCAACCTCTGCAGGCGAGGGGAGGGGCGTGGGGGGAAGGGCGCCTTACCACGTTCGGGGTAAACCGCAGCGGACGTTAGACCCGTCGCAGGGGCGCTGGAATCTCGAGTCGTCCTGTGGCCGCTGGCAGGCACGCTTTCTAGCCCACGCTCAGCACGGCGAGGAATTCGACGCGGGTCTAGCCCGGACGATGAACGGCGAGGCTAGAACGGCGTTTCAGACGCTGGAAGAACATTTCCCGCTAACAGGAAATACTCGCGTTACTCGTTATCACTAACATCTCGGTCTCATGCTCGCCGTCGCCTTGGAAGTGGCAACCGCTGACGCTCTCTTACGGAGAAAATGTATAAAAACGATTGTACAGAGACAAACATTCCCTCTGTGCACCTGGTCTGATGGCTTGATCAGGTGCCGAAGCTCTGCCATAAATCCCATTATACTTCTCTCAGCATTTGCCAGTCTCTGGACCTGTAAATACGCAGAAAAGAAAAGAATCTGCATCAGTGCAACGCCCCTTGGCAGTCGCGGCGCCACAAGTTCGCAGTCCATGTGCGTTTTCCCAAACGATAATGTCCCTTGAACTTTCCCCGCGCTTACCTTCAGGCGGATATTAAAGTTCAAAAAAGATTCAACTCTTGAAAGGTCAGGGCTGCTACCTTCCGCAGCGCCGCCACCTAACTGAGAGGAAATAAGCTAAAAGCTTTATCGCCGCCCGTTATCAGGTGACACCTCGCCAGAGATAACTAACACCGCGGCGAAAAAAGGTCCCAGCGCGTCCGGGGAGCGCGATGGCCGGCGGGTCCTCTTGCCAGGGACACCAATCGCGAATATTCCTTCCAGCTGATGTAGACCGGTCGGTTTCCGAAGCCATGGCGGGTCGTCTGGTCCTGGATTCTGCATAGGTGACGAATGTCCGCTCAGGGGCCTCTGGGATTCGATCAGCGGTCACGCGATCAATAGTGCTTTTCTTGCATTTGTTTCGAATATTGACGCGATTAACAGCCCGTATTCTACTGGGCTCGATATTTTTCCCACGATTTGCGTTTCTGGTTTTTTTGTTTCTTCCTTCCTTTTTTCTTGTAATGAATGACTATCGTGGAACTATGAATGAAATTCTCTTCGATTACCTGTCTGAATCTTGGTTCCCACACAGCACACAAAATGACCGCCGTGACGTGTACAGCAGTGCATCTTTAGTGAAGTTTCTCCGTCCGTTCGTGTCTTTCCGCCCGCTGCTCGCTGTTAAGTCCAGTTCCTCCGATCTCCTCCCCTGAACCTCCACCACATCATATTATGGCATTATCATCATTATCACGTGATATACGGCGTTCTGATAAGTGATCGCGCGCCTGACGCTTGCCGTGAGAGATAAGACATCATAAAACCGTCATTTTACCATAATCGTCTCGGGGTCTTTATCTTCTGCGTCGCCAAAGGACAACCTGCATCTGCGTCGGGTGCCGTTCGGGTATTTTGCCCTCATGGTGTTGTTTGTTTCTCTCTCTCTCTCTCTTCTCCTCTCTCTCTCTCTCTCTCTCTCTCTCTCTCTCCTCTCTCTCTCTCTCTCTCTCTCTCTCTCTCTCTCTCTCTCTC